ATTAACATTGACAAAAGAAATACTTATCATTCAGTTTCTATTATTTTCAGAAGATGGTAAAGTAATATCAACAAACAATCTAAATATACGTGCTGTACCAACGACTAAAGTGTCAATAAATGGACAGCTATACAAAGTAATGAATGCCATATTTAATAATGGGCTGTGTATTGAAAACAATCATTATACAAGTATGTGTAGAGAAGGAAAAACTAGCTGGCTTGGAATTGATGATATGCAAATTAAAAAACACCACTGGCCAAAAAATGCTAAAATAGTTTATATTCTTTTCTTGGAGAAAATAAATAAATAAATGTGTTACAATTGTTGAGAGATTAAATTTATTTTATTTTACAATTCTCGAAAAACTTACCTTTTAAAAAAAAGGTAAAAACAGGTGCCAAGTACACGCACAACACATATTGTCTTTATTTAAATACTATAAAACATTCTTACTCTAAAAATCTGTTTTACAAAAAAAGTGATATCAAAAAGTAGCACCAAGTAAACTTTTCTGTGTCATTTTTTACATACTAAGGTAAAAGTCCCAATAACTGACCACGTCCTATTACCTGACCACTAGNGAGAATATTATTTTTTATTAACATCTGTGCACGGAAAAAGAAGAATATTATTATTCATTTACATTATTTAACTGTTCAGCTTTTCACATAAAAAATTATGCTTCTGAACATTTTGCTTAGAATATTTAAAAACTTAATGTATATTTATACTGTCATGCACTATCAATCATGGTTGATTTCTTAAGATATGGCTAAGAAAAGTGTCAAACTTCTTAAGACTATAATCATCATAATTTTAGGACTTCGTATAAAATATTGTATTTATAGATTCTTAAATATGATTCTAATAAATAGAAAACGACAACTTACTCCTAAAAATTGTTTTTCCATTAAAAATTTACGTGGTTATGTACTAGTACATNAAAATCATGTTTGGTCAATGACTACCCAATAACTGACCGACCGGCNAATTACCGGGCAACGCGGCATTTACAGTACTTTTTCTTCCGTCCGAGTAACTAGCCATATAATTAGCAGTTAGTTTTANACGTTTTTTATAATAAAACACTGTAAGTACAATTATTACAAATACTATTTATGGCAATATTATAATAGATTATATATTTACTTTCAATTTTATAAATTTTTTCACCTATTGTTTTAATACTAATATACATAACCTCACATTATATTGTAACTTTTTTTCATTGTTAGTAAGTTTGTTTTGTTGTATGAATTATTTTAGTTTTGAGCAGTTTTTTNATTCATTTCTATTACTTACTTAGTTTTTTTTTTATTTGTATATAGAAATTTAAAAATGAGTACAAGTTTAAAGGAAAAAAAGAGAGCAAATTCTCTACATAAAAAAAAGTATAGTCAAGAAAATGTAATGAACGCACTGGAAGCGATAGAAAAAGGAATGACAACGAGAAAAGCAGCTGAGATATATCGAGTACCAAGAAGTACTCTCTATGCGAAGCACAAGTTCATTATACCTGTTGAAGCTGCTAGAGGTCCAAGTACATATTTGACTTATAAGGAAGAACAAACGATTGTTGAGTGGATATTTTATTGTAATGAAAGGGGTTTTCCTGTAACAAAAAGTATGCTTTTGCATTGTGTGCAAAATCTGATTATACAATTAAAAAGGAAAACTCCTTTCAAAAACAATAAACCTGGTAGACATTGGTGGGAGGCTTTTCAAAAGAGACATTCAGAAATTACACAAAGAATTGCTCAAAATTTAAATGCAAATCGTGCAGCAGTAACTGAAGATGTTCTAAGGAGTTGGTTCAGCGAAGTGCACAAACATTTAGAAAAAGTAAATTTATTAGATGTCCATCCATCCAGAGTTTTTAATTTAGATNAAAGTGNCTTTTTCTTAGTACCAAAAGCAGGCAAAGTATTGGCACGTAGAGGATCCAACTCCGTGTATAAAGTGGTGCATGGAGACGAGAAGGAGAGCATCACTGTTCTATTTACTGTGAACGCAGATGGCAAAATGCTACCACCTCTTGTACTTTTCTGGTACGAGAGAATACCAGCGAGTATTACCAATATGTTGCCTTCAGGATGGATTGCTGGAAGCACTGAAAGAGGTTGGATGACGGCTGACTGTTTTTATAACTACATAACTACACAGTTTCATCCATGGCTCATACTGAACAAAATCCAATTACCAGTTATTTTATATGTTGACGGTCATAGTTCACACATGACATATGCTCTTTCACAATTTTGTAAAACAACTGGAATAGAGCTTATAGCTCTATATCCAAATGCTACACACATACTCCAACCTTTGGATGTAGCAGTCTTTCATCCTGTAAAATTGAATTGGAAAAAAGCAATTGATGACTGGAGAATTGAAAATAAGACACAAAAATTAAAAAGAGAAAATTTTGCCCCAATTTTACAAGAAACTTTGAAGTCAATAGCAAATTTACCGGAAATCATTAAAAATGGTTTCCGAACATGTGGCCTTCTACCATTTACACCAAATGCTGTGGATTTCAATGTTTTAAATAAAAANAAAACCGCACATAAGAATAAAGAGAACAAAGATGCACTACATACATTTAGCGAAGAAAAAGAAAATAACCAATATCTACATCATCTAGAAAGTCGACTAAATCCTGAAGACATCCAAGACTTTGAACGTGCTGTATCAAGTGGAAGCTTTGAAGTTTCCAATAAATCACAAGAAGGTTTATTTAAATATTGGCTAGATGTAAAGGGGATATCCTTTACAAGTGTAAATAATTCCAGTAAATATTTGTAATATTAATTATAATTATAAAGAATTTCTNATACTATATGCAATAATAAAAATATATGATTAATATTATAATTAAGCAATAGTACTACTTTTGTTCTTTATTTCATATTTTATGTTGTGTTTTCATTGGAATAATATACTTATTTTTCAATGTAAGTAGGAGTAAATGATGAGAATGTGTGTATAAATGAAGTGNAGAATAATCAGGAAAACAGTGAAGTTTCTATTGAATTTGCAAATACTGATTCCTTTCTATCTGAATCATTAAATGTTGATNAAAACATTATAATAGAAAACATGGATATAATTTTATTGCATGAAAATGAAAACAGCTCATTTCATCATTTAACAATGGATGCACAAAGTTTAAGTTCAGACAATGACACACATAATTTGTCAAAGAAGACTGCTATAGAATCTGGTTCTACTTTAAGCTCACGAGACTTTTCTGAAGGTTAGTTTAGATACTATTAGTTTAGATATTGTTATCTAAAATATTTTATATAAATATGTCAAGAATAAACTTTCATTAAAATAATATTTTTGAAGGTAATCAGAATCCAGATAAACAAAATAATAATTGTGATTTTCTAAATGATATAACACTGCACGAAAATGAAACAAATGATGAAAATAAAGCAAATTGCGAAATATTAGATTTGAGCATAACAAAAGTAGAAAAGATTTNCGAAAAATTAAATAAAAAAANAATAAAAAAGACTATCCCTGAAGAAATTGATCAAGAGATTCATAAAACTCTAATAGGTATTTAAGGATCATTAATTTTTATCACTAAAAGAAATTTAATTTTTAGTAGTATTCTTTAATAACATTTTTTCTATAGATAATGATAATGAAGAAAAAGAAAATGAGCTAAAAGAGAAAGTCTCATCGCCTTTTAAAAGATCATTTATTTGGCCCGATGATCAAATCAAAGCAAAGAAAAAAAAAGTATCAAAAAAAGTGTCCACTGTCCTAACTTCTGAAGAATGGAGACAGCATCATTTAGACATTCAAAACGAAAAACTGAAAAAACAGAAAGAAAGTGAAGAAAGAAAAAGGCTGAGAGATGAAGCAAGAAAAAAGAAAGATGAGGAAAAGAAAGCTAAAAAGGCTCTTCTAGAAGAAAAGAAAAAATTAGATATTGAAATAAAAAGACTGATAGCAGAGAAGAAAAAACTAATAACCAAAGAAGACTAAATATTTTTTATATTTATTTGTTATTTATTTGTCATTTATTTTTTATTTTATTTACGTTTTTGTTA